GGATCGGCAAAAAGATGGATATAAACTAATGGCTGACAGTTGGCCAAGTGCCATGTTATAAGAACTAAAATGGCCATAACCCATTGTGACGAAGTACTGAGTTCCCAAAACCACCTAATGCGACGTAAAGGTGTTCTCAAAATTGGGATTTGATAGCGGACGTGACATGCATTTAGGGTGAACTTGTGATAAACCAACGCCGGGATTTGGTTCTATACTTATGTGGTGTTTTAAGGTCTTTTGTCGGTGTTTTATATTCGTTCGTTAACGCTACATAGAGCATCCATATGAGAGATCTCGTCGTTGATGATGGGTTATTACCGACATTTAAATGTCGCTGTCCAAAACAAAGAGACATTATATATTGCGGTTCAGAAATTGAGTGTGGTGAAATAAGCAATGGTACCTATCAGATTACATCGGAGCAACACAGCTCTCTGATATCCCCTATTTGATCACTTTTAGATATCCCTACTGATGTGCACAGAGATCCAAAAGTAAGACGTCTTACTTCGGAAAAGGCGATGCCGGCCAGATTCCATTCTCGATGACTCTGACGGTAGGTGAAACTGAAGTATTATTACACGTACTTGGTTTAGAACCCACAACAGAACCCTCGTCGTCCCGGCCGCGAGAGGATTAGCGACCAGAATAATTGTATTTTTTATTTTTATAATAAATCATTACCTCTATCATGACACAACGCCTTCCTTCAACTTTCTTGGGGGGAAGGGGGGTTCCGTAGTTCTTTAAGTACTAAATAGGATGGGAGGTGGGAAAAAGAGCTTTCGTTGGTGTTAAAACGGAAAGGTCGCTATGGAATGCCGTCCCGCAGCTGCATAATGCCGTATCGCGACTTTTCGCCATTGTTTCCATAGCGACCACATGGACAAAATCCGCTATAAATCGGTCATTGTATCGCGACTTTTCCACAGCGAGGCGCCGTCACCTCGCTATGGAATTGCTACTAGGGACTATCCGAGCCGAAAACAGAACCGCTCACTAAACGTGGATCGCAGAGAAGAGAAGATATCAACTAGGACATTAGAAGTCATCAATTAAATCTACTTCGT